AAAAATTGAAAAGGATATGACAAACTTGTTTCTTTTTCAGATACATAATTTTAAGACACTATAAGTTGTTTATTTAATATAAGACATGGAATTTAAAGAGAAAATATTTCAATTATTATTAGCTTCACTCAGCTTGTCTGTTTTGAAGAAAAGAACAAGCTGTTGGATCGCTGCTGCATTGTTGTTGTCGTCATGCAAATTTTTAATGTAGTCTATTACTAAAATCATTTTTTGAAATATCAGTATATATGAAAACTTGAAATACATTGTACTTGCTTTTCATTACAAGAGGCATTTGTGAGACAAGTGGCATATATTGCTTATCATCACAAGAGCAGGCTGTCAACCAATTCCTATATTCCTATGAAAACTCCTATATTTTGGGTCGGAATCCTATATTTTAAAAAACCTCCTATTTTTCCTATATTCTCCTATATTTTTGAAATTTTTTTCCTATATTTTTTTTAAAAATATATTGCCGAGGAATTCAAAAAGATTTAAATTTTGGTACTGCTTTTGGCCTTTTGTATTTTACAGGGTAAGAGAATGTGTATGATCCTGCAGCAGCATCACATTACTATCTCAAGGCTGCTGTGCTCCACATAGCCATCTGCATGGTCACCATGAAAAGCAGTGCATCAGTATGTCAACTTTATTTCATGTGACCATTTAGATGATGGTCATGCATTGCTGTAACTTTCTGCTGATGCTGTGGTTCAAAGCTAATGCAGGCTGTCCAGCATCCCTAAAAATTCCTAAACAAGTGAAAAATTGGAAGGGAATTCCTAAAAATGCCCTATTTTTTCACTGAAATTCCTAATTATTTTTATCTTTTGTTATAAACATACTTATAACTTGTAACCCTGTCAAAATAATCACGGACTTTACTAAGTCGACCATTGGTTTTGAACATGGTCAAAAATGATTTGGCCATGATTTGCCAACTCAAAATTGATGACATTGAAATGGTTTCGTTTCAACTAAAAGTTACTTTGACTATGTCAGTAACATTGCTATTTCATAATCAAAGCAGTTGTTGATAATCATGTGGACATTTAACAGCAAAAACACTACCATATCATGGTCCTGAAACTCAAATCATAACCATAAGAGTCCACTTATTCTGGAATATTTTGACACTGTTTTGCCAACTACAGATATCTTGAATTTTATGTTTGTTCATTTTATCCCAATTTCTGAAGTGGTCCATTTATATCATATCATATTTGAAAATGATCATTATGAAGCTGTTTGTAACACAATCTTAATTAAAAACATGTATAAATAGTTGTCAAAAAATTAATGTACAATTTGTTTACTCACAACTCTTTTATTTAAATCTGCATAATATCAAAACAACATTGTAAAGTAACTGAATGGGTTAACATAGACTTTTGAAAAATTAATTCTTTCCCTCATACTTACTTATCCTTTTCGTATCTTTGTAGGAGAAATTGCTTATTTTGCCACAAAGTTATCAATTTCATTCAGTTTTTGTTCTTTCATTCAGATGGTCCCATTTAGGAAAAGGCAGACTCATATAATTAATCACACTCAAAATAAATTGGCAGTTCAGTAATATAAAGCTCATTTCCAATTACAATGTACACACATTTTGCAATTTTGTGATCTAGATAAACTGCAATTGAATGGCCTGTGTGATGAACTTTTTTGATGTGCAATTCTTTGTGTTGATTATAGATGCTTCCCAATTATTCAAATGACTGTACTAAGGCAAATGCCTTTTACTTTTTACCTACTTTTACAAAAAAATTCATTTGTCAATATTCAAAAAGCTGCATTTGTGCAAGAATTTCACTGTATAAGAATTCCTTTTAGACACTTGTGGTTATAAAAAAATTAACATTCCAAAACATAGGTAGAACATGTTCTTTTTTGACATGTTCAGCCATTTTAAAAAAAATTGGTTTGAACATGATTTGACTATGACCATTTCTGCAGGGGAGGCAGTTGACCAGTGAGTCCACACTGTAGCACCTTTGCTCAAACTAAACTAGAGCATTATTTGTGAGTTACTTATGTGTCAAATATGCAAAGGTTAGCCCACATCATGGTCTTTTGGGACCTTAGTTTATTTAGTCATAAAATTGCAAATTTTAGCCCTAAAATTTCTATTACGTACCCTAAAATTCCTAATTTTAGCCCTAAAATTTCTGAAATATTACCCTAAAATTCGCCCTAATTTTATGTCGGAAGGTGCTGGACAGCCTGCTAATGGATTCCTTCACTTATACGTAGACATTTTATTGTAGAAACAGCATGTGTAAAAGTAAGAATAATTTACATTTATATAAGCATTGGTAAGTTAAACAATTTAAGTTGAAAACTCCTATTTTTTTGCCTCAAAATGGTCCAAAAACTCCTATATTTCCTGCTAAAATATTCCTATATTCCTCCTTTATTATGGATAAGACCTGGTTGACAGCCTGCAAGAGGCATTTGTAAGGCAAGTGGCATTACTCTGAAAGCTATAGTTTTGAAGTTATTCCATATTTTAACTTAGATTTTGTTTTGGTCAAAATTGCCTGTTTTGTAGAATGATATTTTTAAGTGAAAGCCTTCCAAAGGTATCAATATGAAACTTGGAATATTTGTTTATGATGACAAAGCACAGTTGTTAGACAAAGGGTCTTATTCTGAAGACTAAATTTTTGGAATTATGACCCTTTTTTAACACAGAATTTTTGTCAAAATTGTGTATAAGTACATGTAGAAGGATTAAAAAAAAGTATGGAAAGATATCAACATGAAACTTTGAAAAACAAAAGCAATATTTTTAGGAGTTATGTCCCTGTTTAACTTAGAATATTTATGGAAAATTGATTATTGATAGTTATTGCCCTTAACAGACGAGCATTAACATCAAATGCTGTGCTTCTTGTTTATTTTGCTTGTTGATTTAATGTGGTTTAAATTGGTAAATAATATGAATAACAAATAAATTAAATTAAATACTTTTAATTTCAGTGAAATTCTAAATGAACAAGCCTTTCAATATGCTAGGAATATTTGATGTAAATAAGGATTAAATATTATTCTTATAATTGCAGGAACTTGTGCTTCATTTGCTACAGTCCTTTTACATCCAGACATCAAATTTTCTCAATTGGTTGCAAGTAAAAAAATATGGGGTGTTACACAAATGGCAAAGGGCTATGCTATTGGAGGTAAGCTGAACATATTTTATTAATCACCACCAATATATTGAAATGATATGTCGGATCATCAGTCTGTTCATTCATTCATTCAGGTCTATGTCTTAAATTTGGTTAATCTAATGTTTTTAATATCTCCAAGACTCTTTTAGAATGTTTATATGAATAGGGAGATGAGGATCACTAAGTTTCATAAATTATCCATCTAGCTTTTTAGCTAAGGTAAGCTTTTAGCATAGTTGATTCCTGTGTCAGTTGTCCACTCACTGTCAAAAGTTGACTCTAGTGGTCATATTTTGTTTATTTTCATCCAGCGTTTTTTTTCTCTTCTTTGGGAATGGTGCCGGTACCATACTGATTGGGGAAAAATGCGTTATTTTTACTTAAATTTGGATTTTTTTTTTAAATGCATTTTTTCAGCTACAAATAAGATAAGTCATCATGAATAAAGATAGGTAACAGCTGCCACTGTCCAGGTAGAACTATTGAGTGATGATTTATATGAATATGTTGGATTTAAATGATGTCAGAGAAATCACTTGGCCTTGTGGAAATTTTTAACAGCCATTTGGAATTTAAACATTGGAAATTGGGAATTTTAATGTCTATTTACTATTGGGAACAGTACCGTTTTAGGGTAGTAGTTATATAAAGAAAAAAAACACTGTGATCAAACTTTGTAAATGGTTTGTGACTGTCTGATGAGTTAGTATTTAGGTCATCTTGGGTTAAAAAAAAAATAAGGTAAACAAATTTGCTCACCAATTAAAACAAAGAAATCACAATTTGGATTGATCAGCATCAAACTTTGTCAAAATAATTATCCCAGTGATAATAAGAATGAGTTTGAAGATGGGTCATATTAGATGAACAAACTAGGTCACCACATCAAATCAAAGAAAAAACCTTAACATTTTATAGATATGAAGAAAAACTTTGTTCATAATAGTCTAAAGGTCACATTTAGTATTTGATCTTTCTCAGATTTTGTTAGAATGTTCATACTTATGATGTACATGTTTCTTGGAATGAGTTTGAAAATGGATCATATTGGGCTAAGGACTAGGTCAGCAGATTTAATTTTAAAAAAAAACCTTGTTAACACCGTAGAGATCACAGTTTTTTGAATTGATCTTCAACAAACTTTGTCAGAATGTTCATCTTGATAATGTCTCTGACACATGGGGTTGATAGTGGATTATTTGTGTCCAAAATAAGGTCACCACATAAAATTTTATACAGGTTATTTTGTTGTTCTTCTTGCATGTAAAATCGAAATATATTTCGCTGAGTGAACACCCAGGACACAATATTTTTTACAATTGGCACAGCCATGTTTGAAAATATAATAGCTGGTGTTCACTAGTGAAATATATTTCAATCTAACATGCTAAAACAGACAAATTTTCTATTTATTTCCAGCTTTTTAGCTCACCTGACACAAAGTTACATGGTGAGCTATTGTGATTGCTTTTTCGTCTGGCGTCCGTCCTTAAACTTTTACTTTAAACAACATCTCCTCATAAACCGCTTAGCCAATTTCATCCAAACTTCACAGGAATGTTCTTTTGGAAATAAAGTTTTTAAAATTGTTCAAGGCATTTAATTCCATGCAGAACTCTGGTTGCCATGGCAACTGAAAGAAAAATACTTAATAAATCTTCTTATAGAAAACCGAAAGAGCTAGAGCTTAAATATTTGACATGAAACATCGTCTAGTCAGTGTCTACCAAGTTTTGTTCAAATATATGCCCTAGGAGTCAAAATTGGCCCCGCCCCAGGGTGTCATTGACTTTCCTTATTTGTATATAGTAAAATCTTAAAAAAATCCAAATAGCTAGAGCTAAGATATATAGCATGAAACATCTTCTAATGGGTGTCTACTAAGTTTATTCAAATAAGGGCCCTTGGGTTAAAATTGGCCCCGCCCAGGGATTCATTGATATTCCTTAAATGTTTATACTAAAAACTTAAAAAATCTTCTTTTAAAAGACCCAAAGAGCTAAAGTTTGGATCCTAAGCAAGAAATATCTTCTAGTGAGAGTCTACCAAGTTTGTTCAAATAAAAGCCCAGGCGTCAAAATTGGTCCCCCCCCCCCCCCAGGAAGGGGGGTCATTGTTTTTCCCCTCATGTATATAGCAAAAACTTTAAAAAAATTCTTATAAAACCCCCAAAGAGATAGAGCTTAGATATTTATCATGAAACATCTTCTAATGGGTGTCTATCAAGTTTGTGCAAATAAAAGTCTTTGGGTTAAAAATGGCCCCGCCCCGGGGGCCTATATACAGGTGAGCGATTTCAGGGCCATCATGGCCCTCTTGTTTAGTGATTTTAAGTCATTTTTACTGATTTTGCAGCATAACATATCTCAAGTTCTTCTACATGGTGTCATCATATCATGACATCACAGTACCAATTTGAGTTCTGTAAAATTTCTGGAATTTTGTTACATTTTTAACGCAATGTATGCAGTTATTTACTTGCTTCTCCTAAAGAAGCAAAATTTACGTACAACAGAATTATTTCCTGTTGAATTGATTCCATTTAGCTGAGACATACTATTTTTATCCATATTCAAATATAGTCTGGCTACAGTGAAAATTATCAAATATGATTTCACTTTGATAATTATCAAATATAATTTCACTTTGAAAATTATCAAATATAATTTCACTTTGAAAATTATCAAATATAATTTCACTTTGAAAATTATCAAATATAATTTCACTTTCCACTGCAAAGCATGAAATAATGTACATGTAACTAATTGGTTAATATTAGGGGATCATACATGTTTTTCACGAATATGTCTTGATTATATGTTTACTTCCTTGTAGGATTATCAGGATTTCTGTATATGTGGACAGTAAAAAAGTTTAGTGAACTTCGAGGAGGCAAAGATGATGGGTTAAATCATTTTCTGGGTGGTTTTGGTGTTGTTGCACCATATGCGGCAGTTTATAGTAAGTATGGTTATTATATGTTTAGATTATTAGCTTGTGGCATTTTCTAATAGATCTCAATATCATGCTTTACCTACCTTTGTTTAGAAAATTTATGACACTTACATTCCTATGAGTGATCTGTACTAGTAGAGCATTAATTGCCCTCAGGCTCTGGAGCTTTACATATGAGCCTTGTCACGACAAAACCAACATAATGGGTTTGCGACCAGCATGGATCCAGACCAGCCTGCGCGTCCGCGCAGTCTGATCAGGATCCATGCTGTTCGCTATCATTTTCTCAACTTGTAAAAGGGTTGGTAAGCGAACAGCATGGATCCTGATCAGACTGCGCAGATGCGCTGGCTGGTCTGGATCCATGCTGGTCGCAAACCCATTATGTTGGTTTTGTCGTGACGCGGCTCAATTATAAGCACATCTTAATGTTCAATCATATTCACAAAATAGAAAAGAATTGGTAAAGAACATCCAAACCACAAAATTTGTAATTGTTTCTGGCTCTGTTTGATTGAGCCTTTTCGTGGACTGTACTGAAAAGTGCAAGCTATCGTCCATGCCCCCTAGCACAGATTGAAGCAGATTTTAACATTTTTAGCTCACCTGAGCTAGCTGAGGTTTTAGGGTCGTCTGTCCACATTTTGTTTGTTAACACTCTAGTGGACACATTTTTTGCCTTAATCATCATCAAACTTTGTCAGGATGCTTGTCTATGAAATTGCTTACATAAGTTTAAACATAGGTCATTCGGATGAAAAACTAGGTCACAGGAGCTAAAAATAGTAAAATCTTCTTAACACTCTAGTGGCTGCAGTTTTGATACAAATATCCTGGAAATTGGTCTGAAAATTTGTTGTGATGATTTCTAGCTCAAGTTCGAATATGGGTCACCTGGGGTCAAAAACTAGGTCACACTGCCCAAATATTGAAAAACCTTGTTAACACTCTAGTGGTCACATTTTTAGCTTGACTATTCACAGAATAATCGAGCTAATGCAGTCACCCATTTGTCGGCATCGGCGTCCCTGTGGTTAAGTTTTTGCGTGCAAACTGGTATCTCCATAACTACTGAAGGGAATGGATTGAAACTTCACACACTTGTTCTCTGTGATTATCTAACATGATTGGCACAAGTCCCATAACTCTGATGTGCTTTTTTAGCTCACCTGTCACAAAGTGACAGGGTGAGCTTTTGTGATCGCTTTTCGTCCGGCGTCCGTCGTCCGTCGTCCGTAAACTTTTACTTTAAATGACATCTCCTCATAAACCACAAGGCCAATTTCATCCAAACTTCACAGGAATGTTCCTTTGGTGGTCACCTTTAAAAATTGTTCAAAGAATTTAATTCCATGCAGAACTCTGGTTGCCATGGCAACCGAAAGAAAAAACTTTAAATATCTTCTTTTAAAAAACCATAAGAGCTAGAGCTTAGATATTTGGCATGAAACATCTTCTAGTGAGTGTCTACCAAGTTTGTTCAAATAAAAGCCCTGGGGTCAAAATTGACCCCGCCCCGGGGGGTCATTGATTTTCCCTATATGCATATAGTAAAAACTTAAAAAATCTTCTTTTAAAGAACTCAAAGAGCTATGGCTAAGATATTGAGCATCAAACATGTTCTAATAGGTGTCTACCAAGTTTGTTCAAATAAAAGCCCTGGGGTCAAAATTGGCCCCGCCCCAGGGGGGCATTGATTTTCCCTATATGCATATAGTAAAAACTTAAAAAATCTTCTTATAAAGAACCAAAAGAGTTAGAGCTAAGATATTTAGCATGAAACATGTTCTAATAAGTGTCTACCAAGTTTGTTCAAATAAAAGCCCTGGGGTCAAAATTGACCCCGCCCCGGGGGGTCATTGATTTTCACTATATATGCATATAGTAAAAACTTAAAAAATCATCTTTTAAAGAACTCAAAGAGCTATGGTTAAGATATTTAGCATCAAACATGTTCTAATAGGTGTCTACCAAGTTTGTTCAAATAAAAGCCCTGGGGTCAAAATTGGCCCCGCCCGGGGGGGGTCATTGATTTTCCTTATATGTGTATAGCAAAAACTTAAAAAATCTTTTTTGAAAAAACCCAAATAGCTAGAGTTAAGATATTAAGCATGAAACATCTTTTAGTGAGTGTCTACCAAGTTTGTTCAAATAAAAGACCTGCGGTCAAAATTGGCCCCGCCCCGGGGTCATTGATTTTCCTTATATGTGTATAGCAAAAACTTAAAATCTTCTTTGAAAAAACCCAAATAGCTAGAGTTTAGATATTAAGCATGAAACATATTCTAGTAAGTGTCTACAAAGTTTGTTCAAATAAAAACCCTGGGGTCATAACTGGCCCGGCCCCAGGGGTGTCATTGTTTTTAACTATATGTGTATAGTAAAAACTTTAAAAAAATCTTCTTTTAAATAGCCCAATGAGCTAGAGCTTAGATGTTTAGCATGAAACATCTTCTTATGGGTGTCTACCAAGTTTGTGCAAATAAAAGCCCTTTGGTTAAATTGGCCCTGCAACGTTTGGGGGGGGTGGGGGTTGGGGGGGCCTATATACAGGTGAGCGACCTCAGGGCCATCATGGCCCTCTTGTTACATAATTATGCCCCTTTTTCGACTTAGAAATTCTTGGTTAAGCAAATATCTCCATAACTACTAAAGGGCTTATGCCTTTTTTGGAACAATTTTATGCATTTTTGTGTCGCCTCTACGGAGTAGTGGCGACATATAGGGATCACTTCTCCGTCGTCTGTCTGTCCGTCTGTCCGTCTGTCTGTCTGTCTGTCTGTCTGTCCGTCTGTCCGTCACAAAACTTGTCCGGACTACTCCTCATAAACTACTGGTGCAATTTCATCCAAACTTTACAGGAATGATCAGTACCAAGTCTAGTTGTGCATATTGTCAGCATTTTCCGGTTCAATGATTTTTGTCAGAGTTATGGCCCTTTAATAATTTTTAATTTTAAAGTTTGTCCGGACTACTTCTCTTATACCACTAATGCAATTTCAATGAAACTTTACAGGATTGATCTCTAGCTCAAGTCCTTGTGCATATTGCACGGGTTTTCCGGTTGAATGATTTTTGGCCGAGTTATGGCCCTTTGATAAAAAGGTTTCTTTTTCTGTGTGTTGCCAGATACACAAAAGCTTGTCCAGACTACTCCTCATAAACTACTGGTGCAATTTCATTCAAACTTTACAGGAATGATCAGTACCAAGTCTAGTTGTGCATATTGTCAGCATTTTTCGGTTCAATGATTTTTGATTGAGTTATGGCCCTTTAATAATTTTTATTTTTAAAGTTTGTCCGGACTACTTCTCTTATACCACTAATGCAATTTCAATGAAACTTTACAGGATTGATCTGTACCTCAAGTCCTTGCGCATATTGCACGGGTTTTCCGGTTGAATGATTTTTGGCCGAGTTATGGCCCTTTGATAAAAAGGTGTTTTTTTTCTGTGTGTTGCCAGATACGCAAAAGTTTGTCCAGACTACTCCTTATAAACTACTGACGCAATTTTATCCAAACTTTACAGGAATGATCAGTACCAAGTCTAGTTGTGCACTGTCCGTCTGTCTGTCCGTCTGTCACAAAATTTGTCCCAACATGAAATTGGCCATCATGAGGCGACACATGTGATTACTGATCGCTCTTGTATAATAATAATAAAGCAGTGATTAACTCGATAAAACATCTTAATAACAAGCCTTTGTACCATCTGGACAATTTTATGTATTCATATAGGTTAGCATTATTATACTCAATGAAACACACTTGTGACAACTTTTCGAATAGTGGAGTGTTACTGTCCTCCGACAGTTCTTGTTTAATTGTCATCAACCTTAGTCAGGATGCTTGTCTAGTTAACTGCTTAGATAAGTTTAAACATGGGTCATTCGGATGAAAAACTAGGTCACAGAGCTAAAAATAGAAAATCTTTTTACTCTCTACTGGCTACTGTTTTGATCCAAATATCCTGGAAATTGGTCTGAAAGTTTGTTTTGATGATTTCTAGCTCAAGTTTGATTATGGGTCACCTGGGGTCAAAAACTAGGTCACACTGCCTAAATATGGAAAAACCTTGTTAACACTCTAGTGGTCACATTTTTAGCTCGAATATACAAAGTATATGGAGAGCTGTCCTCCTCCCCCCGGCGTCTGTGTCCTCGTCTAGATTTCAGATTAAAGTTTTGGTGCAGTAAAATATTTTTCACTATAACTTTTTCATTTCTTAAGGTATCAACTTTAAACTTCAAATATATGTTCCTTATCATCAGTCACATCTTATGTGATAAAGTTCATAACTCTAACACCAATATTTTCAAATTTATTTCTTCTTGAACTAAAAAATTTCCTTAAAAGATATTATTTTTTACTATAACTTTTTCATTTAACTTCAGACTTCAAATATATGTTTCTTAACAACAACCACATCATATCATATTCGACAAGGCTCATAACTCTAGCACCAATATTTTCAGATTTATCTCCCCTTGAACTTAGAATTGTCCTTAAAAATTATTATTTTTTACTGTTTCTTCTTTATTTCTTAAGCGATCAAATTCATACGTCAAATATATGTTCCTTATCATGAACCACATCTTATGTGACAAGGCTCATAACTCTAGCACCAATATTGCAAGAATTATATCCCCATTAACTTAGATGTTTTTTACTTGAAAAAAGTTATTTTTTACAATAACTTCTTTAGTTTTAAAGGTATCTACCTCAAACTTCAAATACATATTCCTTATGATCAATCAGATCTTATGTGACAAGGTTCATAACTCTTGAAGCAATATTTTTATCTCCCTTTGAACTTTAATTTTTTTGTAAGAAATATAACTTCTTTATTTTTTAAGATATTTTCTTCAAACTTCAAATATATATTTCTTATCATTACACACATGTTGTGTGACAAGGTCCATAACTCTAGTGTGACTATTTTTAGAATTATTCCCCTTTGAACTTGGAATTTATGTTAACAACTATACTTCTTGTCATAAAAAGAAATGTATTTATAACATAATTGATTTTTATATGCCCCAAAGAATTCCTGCAAATTATGTTATATCCCCTGGCGTCCGTCTGTCCGTTAGCAATTTGGTTTCCAGAGCATAACTTAAGTTCCATTTGGCCCACAATATTCAAACTTCATAGGATGATTGTCCATTTTGGGTAGAAGACCCTTATTGATTTTGGGGTCACATGGTCAAAGATCAAGGTCACTATTATCTTAAAACTCAAAAACAGTTTCCAGAGCATAACTTAAGTTCGATTTGGCCCACAATGTTCAAACTTCATAGGATGATTGTCCATATTGGGTAGAAGACCCCTATTGAGTTTAGGGTCACAAGGTCAAAGCTCAAGGTCACTGTTTCTTTAAAACTGAAAACAGTTTCCGGAGCATAACTTAAGTTCCATTTGGCCCACAGTGTTCAAACTTCAAAGAATGATTGTCCATATTGATTAGAAGACCCCTATTGATTTTGGGGTCACAAGGTCAAAGTCATTATTACCTTAAAACTGAAAACAATTTCGGGAGCATAACTTAAGTTCCATTTGGCCAACAACGTTCAAACTTCATAGGATGATTGTCCATATTGGGTAGAAGACCCCTATTGATTTTGGGGTCGCAAGGTCAAAGGTCAAGGTCACTATTACTTTAAAACTGAAAACAGTTTCCAGAACATAACTTAAGTTCCATTTGGCCCACAGTGTTCAAACTACATAGGATGATTGTCCATATAAGGTTGAACACCCCTATAGATTTCTGGTCAAAGGTCATGGTCACTATTGTCTTAAAACTGAAAACAGTTTCGGGAGCACAACTTAAGTTCCATTTGGCCCACAATATTCAAACTTCATAGGAGGATTGCTATTTGAAGGAGGTAACACTTTATTTAATTCCCATGTTTTACAAATGCGTCATCCTTACTAAAAAAAAAAAAAAACACTTTCGGGCATATAATGCTCCTCCTAGCGGTGCTCTTGTTCTTTCATAGTTTTGTCTCCCTTACTACGTCCATTATTTTATTAGTCGAGCTTTGCTGTCTCCTGTGACAGCTCTTGACTCAATTGTCATAAAACTTTGTCAAGATGCTTGTCTAAGACTAAGTAATTGCTGGGATGCGTTAGATGGGTCAGGTGAGCGATTTAGGGCCATCTTGGCATGAAGTGGTCAAATATTTTGAATTCAAAAATATCGGCATGTGTTATGTCTTTAAATGCTTATGTATTGTTTTCTTTACTTTTTAAACTTTTTGAACCAATTAAGTGTTTGTAAGAACACACAAGATTCTATTTAGTATAAATTCTGAATGTATTAGTCAAGATATATTAACGCCGTTTAACAACTCTCTCTCTTTACCTTCCCTAAACATTCTTCCTATTCTCATAGGGAGCATCATTGAACTAAAGATCTTTATATTGTAGAACGAAATTTCACATTCTTCATGCTTGGTGGATTTTTTGCTGGAATTATTGCAATGTCGACTAAAACTTTTGCACAGATGGAATATACAAGAAATTCATATATGGATCCAGATAGGCAGGTTGACCAGTACACACGGTATCCAGAAATTTTTGTTGCTTATCATGTGCGAAAGGAACGACATGAAGCTAAGCAAAGACTTAAAGAGCTCAACGAGACTTCATAAAATCTTCAACCAAATTTTACTGTTAATATGATAGAGACATTAAGTTTTGAACAGTTGGAAGAAAATTTGATTTCACAGAGGTGTACTGTTGACATTTTGGTATCTTAGTTACAAGTATGTCTTATACTAAAACAAAAACTGATTGCTACATGAATGTTTTACTTTCTCAGTAAAGGATTATCTTGTTTTAAATTGTTTGTTTTTATTTAAAAGTAAAGGAAAAAATTCAAAAATCTTCTTCTCAAAAAGCCATGTTCTTATTTAAAAGTAAAGGTGTGGATGTCACCAAGTGTGTTCAAATAAAAGCCTTGTGGTCAAAATTGGCCAGCCCCAGGGGCTCATTGGTTTTTGTGTTGCCTCCACAAATTTGTGGCCACATATAGGGATCACTTCTCCGCCATTTTTTAGTCTGTCTGTCTGCTCATCACAGACTACTCCTCAACCACAGACTACTCCTCAACAACTACTTGTGCAATTTCATCCAAACCTTACAGGAATGATCATTACTTAGTCCAGTTGTACAAGTCTAGTTGTACAAGTTGTCAGCATTTTGCGGTTCAATGATTTTTGTCAGAGTTATAGCCCTTCAATCATCTTTATTTTTATTCTGCCCAAATAGAGAGCATATAGTCGCCTTTTTGTATGCCTGTACATCTGTTTTGTGATCATAACTTGAAAAATTTGTTTAAACTGCACACAGTGTAATAGAGCATTGATGTGGAGTGCAGTGCCAAAGAACCATAACTCAATTTTTGTCCAATTTTTGTCCCTTCTAGAAAAATCTTGTCCAGAGCATATTAAGCTGAAAACCCTTGGACATAATGTGTTTAAACTGCACACATTTGAAAGGGGCATAGCAACCATTGACTTCCATCATAACCACTGACTTTCCATAGCAACCACTGACTTTCCATAGCAACCACTGACTTCACATGGCAGCCACAAACCTTTTTAGCAACCACTGACTTTCCATAGTAACCAGTGCCTTTCCATGGCAACAATCGTCTACATAACAACCACTGATCAATATTGCAACCATTGACAATCCATAGCAACCATTACTTCCAAAACAACCACGAAACTTGCCATGGAAATCATTGACTTCCATAGCAACATGTGAATTAACACAGCAGACATTGACTTTCCATAGCAAGCATTGACTTTCATAGCAACCAGTGACTTTCCTTAGCCACCATATACCCAGTGTCAGACATAGCAACCATTGACTTTCCATAGAAACCACAGACTACTTTAGCATCCAATGACTTTTTAGCTCACCTGTCACGAAGTGTCATAGCTTTTGTCATCGCTTTTCATTGACGTCGTCCGTCTTTAAGCGACATCTCCTCATTAACCGCTAAGCCATTTTCATCCAAACTTTACAGGAATGTCCTTTTGGTGGTCACCTTTAAAAATTGTTCAAAGAATTTAATACCATGCAAAGCTCTTGTTGCCATGGTACCCAAAATAAAAAAAACAACTAAAAATATCCTCTTTTAAGAAATGCAAAGCTGTTGGGGCTTAGATATTTCGCATGAAACATCTTCTAGTGAGTGTCTACCAAGTTTCTTCAAATAAAAACCCTAGGGTCAAAATTTGCCCCACCCCAGGGGTCATTAATTTAAATAATTAATATAAATGTATAAACTAAAATCTTAAAAAATCTTTTACAAAACTCAAATAACTAGAGCTTAGATATTAAGCATGAAACATCGTATAGTGAGTGTCTACCAAGTTTGTTCAAATAAAAGCCCTTGGTTGAAAATTGGCCCTGCCTAAATATCATTTACATGCTTACTATGAAACGCTTCTTTTTTTCTTTCATTTCATGGTTTCCGGACAATAACTAAAGTTTGGAATGAGGTATTGTAAGTATATACCAACCTAATGTGGAAACCCTGGTTGGTATTGCATTTGGACCCCTTGGGGTCAAGGTCATCGTTTCTAAAAATAGACTCTGGCGTGGGTTCGATCCCCGGGAGATGCTTTGGTAGTTTAGCGCGGAGGAAGGTAGTCTAGTACTGGTGTAACTCTCCAGGAATGATGGTTAGGAAACTACCCGTCTATATGACTGAAATACTGTTAAAAAAAAGCATAAAATGAAACAAACAAACAAACAAAAATAAAAATGCAAAAAATGGTTTTCGGACAATAACTAGAGTTAGGAATCAAACTTGGTGTATAGCAAGACCCCGGTTGGTTTTGCATTTGGACCCCTTGGGGTTAAGGTCACCATCACTAGAAATAGAAAAAATGTTCCAGACAATAACTAGTTAGGGTATATCAAGATTATGTGGAGACCCCAGTTGGTATTGCATTTGGACTCCTGGGGTTAAGGGCAAGGTCACTGTTACTAAAAAAAAAAAAAAAAAAGGAAAATAGTTTCCGGTAAAAATGAGATTTTGTAATAAAATTTGGTTTACTCTCTTAAAACGCAAGTTAAACAATCATTTCCTCATCAAAGCCGTCAAACTGTAAATATTCGAGATATTTAAAAATCAGAGAGTAGACCTTATAAATTCTTTACAATGAATATATAATTAATATAAAGCAAGACACAAGTAGGAATATGGCTTATTATTGGTAGCATATATTGACAATTCATTTCAAAAGCTAATATATCGCCTGACGTGTGTTATACGTCGTCGCTTTCATGGAGTAAAGCATTCGTCGAATTGTAAAATCAGTTCTATATGCACTAGAAATAAAGAACATCGAAGAACTAGAAAAATGATGAAAGCTATATCTATCTCTCGGAAAGCATCCTGAAACGAAAAACTTATTAAAACTTTAACAAATCCAATCTATATTTAACAAAACTTGTCAGTTATAAACTGTTCTTATTAAGACAAATTTGGTGGGTGGGAGGGAAATACTAAAAAGATAGGTTACGCTGCCAAATGTAAAGCCTCGAATGGCCTTAAACACGCCGAGTTGTGCTTTTATACGAGAAAACGAGCAATTTTCCCGCCGATATTCACACGCTATAAGAATATGCAAAACATAAGCAGGCGATATTTTGCCGAGTTTGAAACGGAAATGATTATATGTATATCAAGTTTATATGAAGGCCCCGGTTGGTATTGCATTTGGACCCCTCGGGGTCAAGGTCACTGTTACTAAAAATAGAAAAATGGTTTCCGGACAATACCTAGAGTTAGGAATGAGATATTGTAATCAAAATGGTGTAAAGTAAGCTTTAACGAAGACCACTGTTGGTTATGCATTTGCCCCCCCCCCCCGGGGGGTCAAGGTCACCATTACTAAAATAGAAAAATGGTTTCCGGACAATAACTAGAGTTATGAATGAGATATTGTAATCAATCTTGGTGTATAGCAATCTTGTGTGGAGACCCAGGTTGGTATTGCATTTAAACCTCCTGGGGTCAAGGTAATAACTACAAATAGAAAAATGGTTTCCGGACAATTACTAGAGTTAGGAATCAAACTTGGTGTATAGCAATTTGATCTTGGTTGAAATTACATTTAATTGAAATACTTCTTTGTACTCAGATACTTTATTAACTATAGGTTGAGTTCAAACTTTTCTTCAGACTACTTATTTTTCAAAAAGTCAAAGTTGCTGGTGGGGGTATTAACGTTATTTTTTGCACCAACCCATTCATTTCCTATACCCTTTTGAGGTATTGCTTTAAAAAATTTAGATACTTGTTAGTGACCATCATTCTCACTTCCAGACAAGAGCATTGATTTTGAGTAAATTATGCCCCCTCTTTTACTTGGAATTTTTGTAAAGCTTTACATACCATACCACTTATTTCCTATATACCATACAAGGTATTGCTTTGAAACTTAATATTTGTAGTGACCATTCTCTTCCGCAAAAAAGGTCGAACATCGATTTTTAGAAAAGTGTGCAGACTTCAAGTTTTTAGTACCACCCCACTTACTTCCTATACCCTTTGAGTAATTGCTTGAATATTAACCAACATCCCTAGTTCTAGGCAAGCACTATTAAAGCGCAATGGCTTGTTAGTACTTGATCGAAGTATTTATGAATGTATGGAGGGCGTTTGTTCCCGAAATTCCAGACATGTGAAAATTTCCTTTGGAAAACTACTTTTGAAAATGCAAACGTGTATGCCTAGCATTTATGACTGTCTTCGTTTTCTACAAATAATATGCCTCTTAATTCAGTTTTTATATCGATGATTACAGCTTTTAAATAACAAGTTTACATATAGATCTGAACAACTGACCGAACATGAAAAAAAAACCCACAAATTAACATGCTAGTATCTTCCATCGGATATAAAACCTAAGCAGGTTCGCAGCAAATAAATAAATAAACGTCCGTCTGCGTTTTATGATTAGCGCAAACATTCAATTCTTAATTGTCTGGTAAAGATCTGTTGTAACGGATTGAACTGTCTTACGAACAATTATAAATAGGTAACAACGAGTTGCTATTGTTTAAAGGAAGAAATCCCGCCCGCTTTGGAGCTTACAAGAAAAACAACACCACCAACAACAACAATAATAGACACCACCGAGTCAAAGAATCGGGTCCATAAAGGCTAACTAAGCAGTAATCATGCAGAGGTTGTATTTATAGTACTAGTAAATAAGGAGGTTGAAATACAACTTGACTGAAGCAGACGGAACGTCTCTGCTACTATCAATAACAACTTAATTTCTTATCCGAAGTTTGACGGAAAGGGCCGAGTTACTTAACAGACCAGATATTGCCTTAGAACATCGTCACCGTGTATATCCAGTAACGCCGGAATGTGAAAATAACGCACGATTCGTGCAATATGTAACGCAGAATTGTGCAATAAATGGCGGATAACTGACAGGACTTCCGACGCGGTAAGTTAACTGGTCAATATATTTTTTACTTAACCGAACTGGAAAAAATGAATAGCCGCATACGGCTGCGAAGACATTTCTCTTTATCCCGCTTCAAGATTGTTTCCACGAAATTGTTTACTTTTCAAGATCATTCGTGAAAATGATGGCTTGACCACCGTTTTGAGCGAGATTTTGGATTTTTGTCGACTCTTATAAATACAACAATGCATATTTTACCGTATAATTTCGATTTTCGGCAGGCAAGTGACATTTACTAAACTTCTGGTGATATAGAAAATTGAAATAAGGTGATAAAATGTAATTCAAGCCGTATTTACGAGGTATATAGTCTGATTTTATTGACCTGTCAATTATGA